CCGCGGGCGCTGCGCGCTGCACACCCCGAACGCACTTTGCGTCTGCGCGTTGCATGCGTGCTGCGTGCGCACTGCATGCACACTGCCTGCGCACTGCATGCGCACTGCACGCGCACTGCACGCCCTACACGCTGTGCACTGCACGCACTGCAAGCGTCGTGTGTACCGCACACCGCACGCATGCTGCACCCAGCGCACTGCGCAGCAGGCGTGCGCAACATGCACTGCACGCGTTGCGTATACAACACGCCACACTGCTTGCGCACTGTACGCTGCAAGTGTGAGGCCCGCGGTGTCCACTGCACTGCATGCACTGCCAGCTGTTTGTTCCCTCCTGTGCACACCCTGACCGCACACTGCGTGTGCACTTGCCCCACGCGCATGCTGCTTGCGCTGCGCACTCACACTCACCCCGCACATGCTGTGAAAACACTGCACGGCGCCTGCACACGCAGAGCTCCTCTAGGGAGTCCTCTAGGACCCCTCCAGATGGGGAGACTCCATAAGTTGGGGCTCCAGGGGAGGATGTTCCTGCATGGGGACAGGGTCCCACATCTGCCGAGGACAGAGGTAGAGCCTGGCCTGTCCCGAATGCTTGGTCAGGGTCGGAGCTGTCGGAGAGCTCGGGGCGGGGGGCAGCGATCTCCGACACGGCCCCAGCCCGCTCCACCCCGACTGAAGGCAGCTCCGAGGAGCGACAGGCCCGGGAAGGACCCTGGAGCCGTGTCCCCCCCGGCCCAGGGGCCGCGCCGCCCCTGCGGCTTCAGCACTGCGAACAGCTCCCGGCGCCGCCAGCCGGGCCGGGCCGGGCCGGGCCGGGCCGGGCCCCTTGTTGGGCTCCCCGACCCTTCCTGAGCCGCCTTGGCCCCGCAACCACGGGCCCGGTGGGTCCTTGGCACCGGCGGGGCCAGCCCGGAATCGGGGCTGACCCAGCCCGCACTGAAACTCCCTGAAATGCGCCAGCTTCCGCCGCGGGCTTCGAGGAACCGAGAGGCGGGGAGATGCGAGAAGGGTCCCCAGGGGGTGGCACGAATGTCTCCCGCTGTGGTTGGGGCTGCCCTTCCTCGTCCTCCTCCTCGTCCTCCCCCGGAGGAGGGCTCCACGCCCTGCCCGCCGCCCACGCCGGCTTTCCCGGCGGGGAATGAATTATTGAGAGCCGCTCGGGAAGGCCGGGCCCCGGTGGGGGGGCGGGCAAGCGCTGGGGACAGAGCCCCCCGCGGGAACGGGGGCGGGAGGAGGCTGCGGCCCCCACTCCAGCGCAGCGCACCCACGTGTTGCCCTGGGCCCCACGCGGAGCCTGGGAACCGACCCGCATCTGCAGAGGGGTGGGTGCCAGGGGGACCCCCCTTCCCCGCGCCTCCCAAGGGCTCTGCAAGGGGAGGCCGGTGCTGGGGGGGGCAAAGGGGGAGGCGCGTTGCAGTGCGGGGTGTGCGTGTGTGTAGGGGAGGTGGCGGGCGGAGGGGGGGGGGGCTGTTTTTATGAATGGGCTGCTCCATCCCCAGCGCGATTACTACGCGGCGCGCGCGCGCCCGCGCTGCCTCGCGCGCCGCTGATTGGCTCCGGCGCGCCATTGACGTCACAGCGGGGCGAGCGGGGCGGGGGGGGGGCGGCGGTGAGTCACCCCCGGCCTCCCAGCGCCCCCCCCCCGGCCGGGCTCGGTCGCTATAACTCGGCGGCGCCCATGGCAGCGGCCCCCCAGGCGGGGAGCGCAGCGCGGCCCGGCCCGGCAGGTGAGTGACGGCACCGGGCGGGGGGGGCCACCCTGCCTGCACACAGAGCAGGGCCATGGGATGGGGAGGGGGGGCTGTGCTGCTTGCCCCCCCCCCACGCCGTATCCCCCACGTAAGGATGCGCTCCCGGGCCTGAAGGAGCCCCTGCTGAGCTCTGGGTGCTGGAGGGGGGCGGTGGGTGGGCCTGGGCTCGGTGCCCCCCCCCCCATCTGCTGCCTTTTATCTCCATAACTTTTCTGCTGGAAGCTGCAGGGGGGAACTGAGCTGCCCAGGGCTGTGGTTAGGGACCGGCAGGGTCAGTCCCGCACTGCAATATTTATCCATCAAAACTGACCAATGCACCCCCCATACCGAGCATCTCCAGCATAGCGGATGCCGGTAGGAGTGAAGAGGCTGAGAGCCTCCCCTTTCTGTATTTTTTTTTCTTCCCCCCCTGCCTTTTTTTTTTTTTATTTGCTTGCAAAAGAGGGAAAACAAAACACCTTGTCCAGAGAAACTCCTCCCCTGAGCAAACACTGAACATGCTGCAATCATATGGAGGTCGGGCCAGCGCTGCTCCTGCCCGGCTCGTGGGAAAGCCTGGAGGGGCTGGGGCCACCGGGGACTCTGTGGCCGCTCTGGCAGGTCCCTGCTGTGGACGGCTGGTGCCAGAGCGATGCTCTTGCAGGTCGGCCTCTGGCAGCATGATGGAGGATGGAGCCCACAACTCCAGCGGAGGCCAGCGGGGCTGGTTCGCGGGCAGGAACGGCAGCGGCGGCTCCTTGGAGCTGGAGTCTGTGCTGCGCCCCGTTGCCTTGAACCCGTGGGACGTCGCCCTCTGCATCTCAGGCACCATCATCTCCTGCGAGAACGCCATCGTGGTGGTGGTGATCTTCTACACGCCAGCTTTCCGCGCTCCCATGTTCCTGCTCATCGGCAGCCTGGCCACGGCCGATCTTCTGGCCGGCCTGGGGCTGATCCTGCATTTTGCCTTTATCTACTTCATGCCTTCAGAGGCCATCAGCCTGCTCACCGTGGGGCTGCTCGTCACCTCCTTCACCGCCAGCGTCAGCAGCTTGTTGGCCATCACCATTGACCGCTACCTGTCCCTCTACAACGCCCTGACCTACTACTCGGAGAGGACGGTCACCAGAACTTACATCATGTTGATCCTGACCTGGGGAGCCTCCGTTTGCTACGGGCTCCTGCCCGTCATGGGCTGGAACTGCCTGAAGGCCCCCTCGGCGTGCAGCGTGGTGAAGCCGCTCGCCAAGAGCCACCTGCTCATCCTCTCCGTCTCCTTCTTCACGGTGTTGGCGGCGATGCTGCAGCTCTACGTGCAGATCTGCAGGATCGTGTGCCGGCACGCGCAGCAGATCGCCGTGCAGAGACACTTCCCGGCCAGCTCCCCCGACGCCGCCACGCGCAAGGGCATCGCCACCCTGGCCCTCGTCCTGGGCACCTTCGCCTCGTGCTGGCTGCCCTTCGCCATCTACTGCCTGCTGGGGGACTACAGCTCGCCGGCGCTCTACACCTACGCCACCCTCCTCCCCGCCACCTACAACTCCATGATCAACCCCGTGATCTACGCCTTCAGGAACCAAGAGATCCAGAAGGTGCTCTGGGCCGCGTGCTGCGGGTGCTGCTCTTCCACAATGCCTTTCCGCTCCCGGTCCCCCAGCGACGTGTAGCGCCGCCCGCGATGCCCTCCTTGCTGTGCCGTGGTGCATTCACCTTCCTACGTCGTGTCCGTCCGTCCCTCCTCCCAGAGCAGGGGCAGCAGCTCTCCAAAGCGAGCGGCTCCCCCCAGCCCCGTCCCTTTGTGAACAACCTCTTTTCCTCCTCTATTTTTTTTCTGAATTTACAGAAGAGAAATGTATTTTTTAAGTCCCTAATATAATATATATTTATGTGTGCATGAGAGGGAGGGAGGGAGAGCCTCATATTTTCTTTGAAAATCTTTATGATGCATTATTTTTTTAAGGGAATTGATAGACAACTGTTTGCTCCTCTTTGCTTTTTTAGAGGCTTATTTACCTCAGATTATATATATCTATTTTGTACATTTATGGGGAGGGGTGGGGAAAATCCCTCGCTTCTCGGAGCAGGAAGGACTCTGCTCCACCTCCCCCTCTCCCAGCCGTCTATGTGTGTATTTTTTTAATTATTATGATTTTATTTTTCTATTCCCTCCCCTCCGCGACCAGCTTTTCCCGCCCCCGCAGCGGCTGTCCCAGCTCTGGGACTTGCTGCCCTCTAGTGCTGGCTGGTTTGGGGAGAGGCGCTGCTGGAGCCCCCGGGTGCCCCCCGTGCACCAGTGACCCTGGGAGCAGCAGCGCGGAGCCGCTTCCCGCTCGGAGCCACCTCCCGCATCCCGGGACGAGCGTTTCCTCGTGCTGGAGCCACCGCCGCTGGGTCCGGGCAATAAAAGCTGTTTGTGATACGAGCTGTGGTGCTGGGGAGCAGGGGGGGCCCCGGCTGCACCGTCGCCAGCGCCCCCCGTCACATCCCGGCTGCGGGAAGCGCTTGCTCCTGGGAATGGTGCATGGAGAGGCTGCCGACCTCCAGGCCTTCCACTGGGTCCCTCGGGGATCCCTGGTCTCCTGCAGGGTCCCCCCGCACTGCTCGGTCCCCGGGGACTTGGCTGCTGAGCGGCCCCAAGGGCACCTAAGGGCCTGGGGCAGCCCTGACCCTGGGGCGCCTCCCTGGCCTTTGCTTTCCCGGGATGCAAAGGAGTGAGGCCGGAGCCATTCCCAGTGCTGAGCCATTCCGGAGTGCTGAGCGGGCAGGAGCGAGCGGTGACGTGAGCAGCGGAAGGGAAAAAGCAGGGCTAAAAGCGGCAGAAACTGCAAATATCATTAATAAAAAAAGAATCAAAAGGGATCAGAGAAGGGGCCGAGCAGCCTCCCTGGCTCCCCGGAGCACCCGCGGCCTTGGGAATGGGCGCACGGGAGCAGGGGTGGGGGGTGTCATGGGCACACAGGGCACAGCGGCGCCTGCTGCCCCCCAGCTCACCCAGCCCCAACTCGCCTGCCCAGGAGCCCCAAGGTGCTGTGGACCGGGGCTGGGTGACTCCGGGGGCTCCATCCATGCGGGAGCGCACGGACCTCGAGCCGGCAGCGCGGGGGCCACGGGAGGGCTGAGCCGCTGGTCTGGCTTAAATTTAAAGGCGAAACCAAAGCCCCGGCTGGGGGGGGATTTTGTTTCCTTGGAAGCGGGAGCAGGCAGGAAGCGGGCGCGACGGCCCCGCTGGGGCGGCCACTGGCCCGGGGCCACCTGGGCAGGGCAGCGGCTCCTGGCCGAGGTGCCCGCGTGGCCACGAGCCGCTGCCTCGCAGCCGGCCCCTTCCGCGGCGCCTTCACCGCAGGCCTGGCCGCGGGGCCCAGCGGGCACGAGCGGGAGCGCGGCCCGGCCGCCCGCAGCCCTTGGCCGGCGAGTGGCGGCCTCGGCGGCCGCGCTGCCAGACTGCGGCGAGGCGAGCTCCAAATCCATAATTCCTCTGGCACCCCGCGGATCCGTGCGAGCTGCTGTGAGCAGATGGAAGAGCTGCAGATAAAGCCATCCGCAGCACGGGAGCCGCCGAGGCACCGGCAGCGGGGGGAGGAGGGGAGGAAAAGGGGGGAAAAAAAACAGAAAAAGGGAAAAAAGGCAGGCAGGGGAGGAGGGGAAGGAGTCGGCCATTTGCGCAGGGGCTGCGCTGCCGCCTCCGCGCACCTCCGTGCGAGCAAGGGCGGCCGGCGTGGCCGGGGCGCGGGGGTGACATTGGCAGCGGCGGCGCGCGCCAACGCTGATGCGAGCTGGCAGCGCCGGCGCCCGCGCCGCTCCCACGGGGCGACGCAGGGAGCGCGGCCCACGTCAGCGGCGCCCGCCGCTGCCCACAGCACCTTGGAGGAGAAAAGGAAGCGGCTTTGGGAGCCAGGGCTGCCCGGGCCCCGCGAGCTCCGTGGTGCGAGGCAGAGCTGGGTGCCGCGGTGCCAAGGAGGAGGGTGAGGACAGGGCGGCCCGTGGCGCTCCCTGTGCCCCGCATCCACCCGCCGACCCTGAAAGGAAGGGCTCTGCCAGTGGGGCCCGGCTTGCTGCGGGCCTGGGCTGCATTTGTGCGTGCTCCATCCCTGCCCTGGCTGCGTTTGGGTACACTCCATCCCCGCCCCAGGCTGCGTTTGCGGGTGCTCCATCCCTGCCCTGGGACACGCTCGCACCCCGCCCGCTCCACCCCGAACAGTTCCGCACAGAGGCGATTCCCAAGCACTCGCCCCCAAAACGCAGGGCACCAGCGCACGCCGGCTCCGGGCACGAGCGCGCAGCTGGAGCCGCAGGCAGGGGCTGCTCCCGCGGCACGGGGGCCGGAGCCACGCGCGGCGCTGGGCGCAGGATCCCGCGGTGCCGCCACGGAGAGCAGGGCGCCCCGGCTCCTCCAAGGAGGGCTGGGGGCCGCGCGGGGCCCGGCGCGGGCAGGGAGCAGAGGGCCCAGCGCCGCGGGCAGGAGCGAGTCACGGCGCCGCCGCAGTAACACACACAGGCTCCAGCTGGATAGAAAGGTTTTATCAAGTTTAAAGTTTCGCAGTTTTAAAAAAGGAATTCGTTCTCTATTTTTTTTTTCTTTTCCTTTTTTTTTTTACACATACATTACAAAAGAATTGCGGTGGGATCTCCGTGGAAGGGAGGCCGAGCCGATTATCAATCAAGGGGCAGGAGGGGCTGGCTCACACGGCGAGCGGGGAACGTGGAGGGCGCGGGACAAGGCGGCCGGAGCGGGGAAACGGAACCCAAACAAGCGCCCGGCCTCGGGGCACCCTCCGCGGTTGCTACAACAGGATTTTGCTCACGAGGTTTTGGCGTTTGGCACTAAACCTCCTTTGGTGTGAAAGGGAGTGCCCCCCGCGGGACCCTCCTCCTGCCCGCGCGCTCTGGTCACCGCGGAACGCCTACGGTGCAAGTGGAATAATTACTCTTATAAATATATTTATATCGTATAAGAATATAAGGCACTTTGGGAGGGTTACGGCTTGCCTAATTCTATGACATTCGAGGCGGGGAGGGGAAGGGGTTAGTCCTGAAACGAATTAAAACGTTAATATGGCAATAAAATAAAAAAGAATTGGGTCCACTTCCCACTTCAAGGCTTTGTTTAAAAAAAAGAAAGAAAGAAAGAAAGAAAGGAAAAATAAAGAGCACCCCTGGAAAACGAAGGGGCGGGAAGGGCGGCCGCGCTGCATCCGCGCCGGCCGGGACCCCCAAGGCCGCTTGGGCTCCTCTGCTCTTCCCTGCCGCTTTCGGAAGAGGCCCCCGGAGCCCCCCGAGGGGCCGGCCCCACGGACCATCCACCCGGGAACGCGGCCCTTCTCCCGGCTCCCCGCGCCAGCGCCGCCCGCGCCCCTTGCGCAAGCGGGGCCAAGTCTAGTTAAGGCAATTTAAAATTAACCCGGGTCTGGCATTTGTGAGCTCCTCGCTTCCCCGTGTGATTCTGCTGTCATCCCGGCTTAGCTTAAAGGTCTGTTTACAGCCCAGGAACCCGTCTGCAGGAGAGGCCAGAGGAGGATGCTCAGAGAGCCCAACGGAGGCAGCGACTGCCCCCGGCCCCCCTAATGCAGCTCCCAGCAATAATCAGTTTGCATTTCCCAGCGCCTCCCCTGCACGACGGCTCGCTGGCACTCCAGGGTTTGCTCCCTCTTCCAGAACCTGGAATAGCGTCGCTCAGATGTTCCCGGAGCGCCAGGACGCCTCACTGCCTCTGCCCTTTGCATCCTGCCCAGCAGCTCATCTGCTGACAAAAGCACCCCGGCGCCGAGGTCCAGTAAATCTCTGCCGATGCCGCCGCTCAGGGTCAGGCTGGATCTCGGCTCGATCCACCCTCCAGAAGAGCCCGTCCTCCAGGCCATTATCTGCCCTGTCAAAGATTAAACCCAACCCCACACGCACACAAGAAAGCAGCACGAACTCACCCGTGCAAGCCGAACCCATCAATCAAGCCCCAAGAAGGATTTCCAGCAGCCTGGCAGCCTCGGGCTGCGCCTGGCATCCAGGTAGCAGCAACATCATTAAGCGGGGCGCTCTAGAGACCGGCAAACAGGCACGGGCTGGGAACACACGACAGAAAAGGCAAAGCAGCCGCAGAGGCGCTCGTGGCAGGACATGGTGCTGGTCCCGTCCCGCGGGAGCTGGACCCGGGACCTCCACGAGGCTTTGCAATCGCTTCCTTGCATCACACTGGGTTAGTCGAGCCCAAATTAAAATAGGGAAGCACGGCTGCAGCAGTGGGGTGTTTTTATCTAGGCTTCCAGGATATGCTAATATTCTATGTAAGGTAATCTAAAACAGCAATAAAACCTAGGTCAGCTAGTTTAAGGCCCCCATTTTCTCCCCCTGCCAGGACTGTACCTGCACTGAGCAGCCCACCAACCTGTTGGGTTAGCTACGAGAAGAGATATTTTCTTAAAATTAACTATTGAGCTAGAATAACAAAACGGTGGGAAGCAGAGAACGTAGGATAGGCCCGCTGCAACTGAGGGGCAGCTCAGCTCCCCCACAGGAGGGTTTGGGGCACAAATTCGAGGATTTGAGGCGGAATCCTCCTGTCCGCAGGCGGAAGGGCGGAGGCCCCGAGGGCAATACAGCATTTTCCAACGCTGCTCAAGCCCCTGCGTCAAGAGCAGAGTCGCCCCACTGGAAAAGCACCTCCTCGAGCACAGCACTGGCCCAAAGAGCCCCAAGGGACCTCAAGGCATCAGCCCCAGCTGCACGTTCACCCGGAACCAGGAGATGGGAGGAAGATGAAGGCAGCTTTTAAAAGCCACCCCTCGCACTGCACCCAAAGCCCAGAGCTCCAACACACGGCAGCCTGCGAGTACTAGAGGGGTCGGGGGAGAGAACTGAGCACTCGCTAAAACCTGATCGGTTGCCAGAGGGATGCAGCAGAGAACAGACATCTAAAGCCCATTTTCTTGCAGCACTACCAGCAGTCACTGGGAAAGCAGAGCCAATTAGATCTACTGTACGCTGCTGCAGTGAGAAAACTCGCTGGAAACGTCCTTCATCTGAAAGGCCATGTGGCCACAGCAGGATCATCCACCTTTAAGAAAAAACCCTCAGGACAGAGGGGTTTTATGTGCTCTGCCTGGTGGATTAAGAATCTGGAGGTTGAGCTCTCCTAACTAAGCAACCGTTACGCACCCTCCAGCTAAGGCTCAACACCATCACCCTCAGTGTCCACGGGGAGACTTTTGGGAATGCCGGAGCACAAAGTCCTGCCAGAGCTGGAGGGGAAGGGAGAGGGGAGAGGTGCTGGTGCTTGTCTGAAAACCCTTGGCACATCTTTGGTTACAGGCTGAGAGAGGAAGACGTGGAAGGTTTGGCCACCTGGTTCTTTAGGAAGGTGTTAGCCCAGGAGGGAAGGAGGGGGGAACGCGGGACTGCGGTTAATCCGACCACTCGTCCTCGTCGAACTCGGAGGAGTCGTCCTCGGAGTCGCTGTACTCCACGGCGATGCGGCGCGACAGGATCGTGGCCACGTCGTTGCCCACAACGTCCCGCTTCTCCTGCTCCCGCTGCTCCTCCACCTTGCGGAGCTGGAAGCCTGTCGGGAAGAAGGCACCGGAGGGGGAGTCACTCAAAGGCTCCAGCCACGCCGAGACCTTCGGAGCAGCCTTCCCTTCAGGGATGCTGCAGTCCTGCTAAGCGAGACGGCCTGTTCTCCACCAGCCAACGCCGCACACGCGGTGGGATAACACCGGAGGGCGAGTAACAGCCAGGGAGAACAGGAAGCGGAGCATTCCCACGCGCTTCCGAAGGGATCACACCCCTGCCCTTCGGCCCACCCGCCAGCTCGGAGCGCGCTCACCCTGGCACTACCCTCTGTCAAGGAACGGAGGGCTAACACCTAGCGAGGCTGTCACGAGGGTGGGCAGAGTGCCCTGCAGGGACGGCCGCAGGGAGCAGGGTGGCGGCATCGGCCTGTGACAGCTCCCGGGGGCTCTCACGGTGGGCACCAGGGGCGTCCTGGGCATGGAGCGGGAAGAGCCAGCGCTGGAACAACTCACCTTGCCGAATAGCGGAAAGCAGGTCGCTCCTGGCGTCGCTAACCGCCGGCAGCGACGACTTGGCCTTGGAGCTGGACAGATCCGAGGGCAGCGGAGGCGCCGGGGGGCCGTCCAGGGCGGCGAGCG